AGGTGGCTGCTGATGAATTCTAACTGAGTATAATCATCTAAGATTGTAAGAAGATAGCTATATCCATAATAAGAAACTGTAGAGAAGGGACCCCAAATGTCAACATGAACTAACTGAAAATTTTTATTTGATTGAATATTTGATACAGGATAGGAAAGCCTCTTTTGTTTAGCTAAGGGGCATATTTCACATACATGATTTTGAGGAACCTTTATAGAAGAAACAAGATTACTAATTATTTGTAATCTTGCAGATGGAATCAAATTGAGTGAGATAGGCTTGAGAGGAGTCTATTTGGTGGCTACCGACATGGGTTTTAGCCGAAAAGGGGGTTGCGGCCAACATGGGTGTAGCAGGAAAGGATATTGTCGACAGTTTGCAGTGGAGGTGACGCCGACATCAATACCAATGGTTGAAGACAGTTGTGTGATGTTTATTTTTGGGGTGGGGTGATAGACTTTTATATTTTTCTTTTATTTATTTAAGTTTTTTAATTATTTAATGTGGTAAACAGATAGTTACCATTTTGTCCCCTTTTAATTGATTAAAATATGGGTAAACTTAATTTTGGTGGTAAGCTGATGGAAAAATGGATGGAAACCATCCAAAAGGGCCTCACTTGCAATGGTTGGAAAAATTGGGGTGACAGTTGCAACAAATCAAAATCTAAAAAAAGTACACCAATATTTCAAAAATTTGAGATTTTTGTTGCAATTATCCCTTAAATCAATAATGTATGACACAGTCTGATTTTGTCAGTCATTGATTATCTTGGATAAGGTTCTTGCTACTAGTTAGATCATGACTAATGCCCAAAATTTTATACATAACGTTAATTTTCAAGTATTCTCTTATATTTTAGTGGAAACTTTTGCTATCAAACTATTTCTTCAAATTCTTTTACTATAATGGACTCTTGGATCAAAGTCAATTTTTGATAATTTCCGAAATTTTAATGTGAATTTTGGTTAGCTCATGACAACAGACGTGTAATGCACATGTAACATGTATTTCAATATGACCTGTCTTTATTTTAAATTTTTGAAATTCAATTTGAAATTTAAGAATATAAATACAAAATAAGATAAAAATAAAAGTCGGAATATGAACCCTCTTCCCCGTCGCCTTGATTCCGTGCCAGGGCATGGCATTTTTCCATCTCTAATCGAAGGGACTTAAAGAAGAATTTAATATAGACAAAATATGGGAGGCCAACATTCTAAATCATCAATTGTATTGAGTTGTAAGACTTAGTGGAATTCCCTAGGGAATTGTTTGTAATATTATATGTAAGTTTAGAATGTCAATCACAATCATATGATGCCATTGATCTCCAATGCGTATGTAGAAGGGTGAGAAGTATAAGTAGAACATAGTAGTTTTATTTAGTGCTTGCTTGAAAGAAAAAATCATTCGAATCACTCTTCACTCTTTACCGTCTCTCTTTGATTTCTTGAAACCAAAATTCAAGAAATTAAATAAAAATAGAGATGACAAAAAAATCCGACAAACCTGATACCCGCGAGGCCCCGCTACGAACGAAAACCCGCTTAAACGGGTAACGGGGCGGAGATGGGGCGGGTTCGAGGCGGGGACGAGTAACGGGGTCCCTGCCCTGCCCCGTCCCTTTTAAAAAAAAAAAAATTTTTTTAAGTCAATATTTTAAATGAAATTTTTTATTAGTTCTAACAGAAAATAGCAACTAAAATTATTTGTCCAAATCTAAGGAATATGGACAATAAAAATAAACTAACAAAAACTTAAAAAAAAAAATTAACAGGTAGTAAACGATGCAAGGACCCC